TCTCGAGGCAGCTCCTCACGGATGAAACATTCGGGATTGCGGTTTGGCGATGGGTCTGGTCGGGCCACTACGGGAGGGACTGTGCTGTAGCACCTTGTCTAGGCACCTAGGACAGGGCTCTGACTGAGGCAAACAGCCTGTTTGGCACGCACATGTTCAGTGAGGAGGTTGCATTGCACAGCACAGGGAAGGCACTGGCACTGGCACTGCACTAGCGCTACCACCTGCCGTCCGAGGTGCGGGTCTTCGCAGGCATCTTGCTGGCTGGTTGGCTGACTGGCCAGCAGGGAAGGTACATTCGTGCATTGTAGCAGCCGGTGGCCGAAAAGCTTAAGGGAGAGATCATTCTTCACTGATCCTCAGCGCTATCATTGAGAGGGTCTGAGGCCGGCCTAACCACGTGTCGTCTAGTCGAACGGCTGCAACTAGCAGCTTTCTGGCCAACCAGCCACACACGCCGCCGTGGCCCTCCCCATGCATGGCGCTCCACCCGCGTGTGTACTGTGCATGCTCTAGTAGTGCGCTTCGAAGGGTAGTCGGTCGCTAGTCCTTTATCTTTGCTTTTCCCGTCTGTCAACTGGAGCCATTAGCAGTGTCTGCTCGCCATTTATCACATTTCCCATATGCACGCTTCTCCTTCTGGCGAAAAAAAGGAAACAAAAAGAAACGAGTTGCAAATTAGAAGATCAAGGCGTCGGCTAGTCAGCAAGCATCAGCGACAGCAAACCTGTCCATCCTTAGATTGACTAGGGTTCCCACTCATTTGCTTCTATTCCGTTCCGTGTTGTCGTTGCCTTCGCTATTATTCCAGTTTGAGGAAATCAAACATATATTGTGGATTATCGTCTAATACCTGGCAGGTTTGCTCGGGTTCTGACATCTCATTTGTGCCCCATAGCGGTAGTTTCAGAAGCGGCCCCATAATGCGACTGCTATTACGAGGAACTTTTTCTGGCCCCTACATATGTTGCTGACTTTCTTTGTTTTCCCTCGTACTTATTACTTGCTTTGTATTGCCGCCAAGATGAGAGAACTAATTAAGAACAAAAGGAATTACCGCCACGCGACTTCAGCTGCCAATCTGTCAAGGGATACATCATATTGCTGTCATGGCGGCGCCAATTTCTGTAAAACATCGAAAATGGCAATACTACCACATGCATGTTAGTGACGAGCCAGCAAGTACACAGTGGGAAAACACCCGCCAAAAAGACCCGAGATAGACGCCCCAGTTTCCCTATGTATTCGACCAGGGCAAGGCCACGAGGTGCGGGCACTCTTTTTCGAGTGACAAGCTTTCCACTTAAAGATCAAGGCTGCTGGTAAAACAGGAAGGGATGTGTATGATTTCCTGGGGTCATGCTGTGGTTTGGGCTGGCTTGGTGTCGGCTGACGGCTGTCAACCTCCCCAAGGTTCCCCGTGGCTATCGCCGAGCAGTGTGTGCACGCTATTGATGGCAGTAGACATGGCCAATCCTTGTCCAGGGGGGAGGGGCACGCCGAGATTAAACCATTCCCCATCTGCAGGCGGGTACAGTAAGTCCAGAGCCGATCGGATGGCTAGTACCCCGGCGACTGATTGGCTAGATGTACGCACAAGAGGTCCTGCTATGCATGGAGCAGTGGGTTGTTGAAAATCCTTGAGTTTTGTTCGTGTGGCTCGAAAAACGTCCTTCTTGCCACTGCGATCCTGCCTCAGGTGGCAGCGTCTCGAGGCGAGCGGCGTTGCAGTGCCATTTTGGCGACCCTAACGCGTGTCGCAGGAGGGTGGAGGATCTCGCTGGTTTGTGGCTTTTCGGGGTGGTTCATTCAATTCTGGTGTGGTGCACTAAGCGTCAGCCACATGCACTGGGCCATGTGCTAAACCACACTCTACCCTCTTTTTGTGTGTGTGGTGCGCGTCGCTTCTTGGAAGCTGCCGCACTGGCCTCACGTGGCTGCGGAAGATCGCGTGTATGCACAAACCATATGGGGGGGCGTGGAAATTGGAATGGGTACCTGGTACTTAGCAGATGGCCTAAGATGGCTGCTGCTGGGTGCTGGGGACCAAAGTAGGGTCTACATTAGCCTTTGTGCACTGCACAATCGCGATTGATCTCTAAGGAACAATACACGGACTTCAAACCACCATCCATTTCCTGTGCAATGGCAGCAAGTGTCTTGTTCTCAATATCTCGATACTCCTGGTGCGTCGTGGAAACGGACACGTGCTCGTCGACCACTCATGCTGAATTCGTCGGATCGATTGATTGAACGATGCAGGCTACCATTTGCTTGCCCGGGAGCACTAAGCAATCATACCGGGATTTGATTGGGATGAGTTTCTTTGGGAAAACGCTGCATGAAAGCCACAGCACCCTAGCGTATTGAAGCACGAAGTACTGATCGCCAAGGTTGCTTTGACTCGCGCACACACCCGCGCCCAATAAACGAAGGGAGAATATATCTATTGTCGAGAAGAGCCCAGTGCATATTTCATTTCTCCCTCCCAGGGCCTCGATTCTGCACGATCCCAACTGCCGGTTGACGAATAACCCCAGTGTGTGTTCCCACCCCGATACCGCCTGGGTGGTGTGGCGATTCACAAGACTGAGCGGCATTCCTGCACCTCACCTGAAGTGTACAATGTGGTGCTTACCTAGTCTTGGGTCCCGTAAAGGCGTTCCATCGGAAGTTTATTCTACCAGCGGGATGGATGGCCTGTTATCTGCTAGAACCTCAACGGTGCATGACAATGGGCAGATTGCCAAGTTGCAACGGCTTTTCTACTACGGAGCAAGTCTCCTGACTGCTACCCTCACAGCATCATTTTGCCGGCCATAGGGAGCCAGCTGCGTCGCAGGCCCTTGTAGCACGCACCACGCATGTCTTGCAGCCATAAGAGGAAATCGAACCATGGCAAGAATGCGGCGGAAAACCTAGTAGGCATGGCATTTTTGAGTTAATCGAAGTTTTTCGGTGCTGAAAAGAGGCGTCCCCGTCCTATATCCAACCACGGCGGAGTCCCAACGCGAGACCTTACTGGCAATGGCCTAGGCCTTCCGACTAGCAAAATTGGTGCACGTACTTTATTGTAGGAGCCACGGCTTAGATGCATGAGGCGAGGCGAGGGACGGATTTGTCGCACCTTCCCACTCGCAGTAACTCGAGCGAAAAGTACCTCCTGCTCTGCCGTGGCACCAGGCCACTTTGTTGCATGCTGGTGCTGGGTACCTTGCGTTGTACGCTGCCCACCATTTGCCTCTTTTACATTGCTCTGCTTCCTTGTCGGACTCTCCATGTGCCCTTCCATGAGCCCACCAACAAAGATACGCGATGGATGGGGGGAGGGTACAGTCGGCGTCGACGCCCCGTGGGCAGCTCGTCGTAGGGTCAGCAAATGCCGATCCCATGTGCTGAGAAGCCACGAGGAAAAAAGGAGCGGACACGTTCATATGCCATCATCTTAATCAAGATGGTGGCTAGGGAGGTGGAGGGGGGGCGAAGCTACCCGGCCAAGGCTTCTCGTTTGCTGCCACCACCTTAGTTACGTAAGGCTGCTCAAGGTAGAGCGGTACTTTGGCACATGGGTCGGTTCACGGCTAAGGGAACCTAAAGGTGATGTACTCGCTGCCTTGAGACCTATTAGGCAGGAGCAAATTGTGCACACCCGACGGCTCAGGGGCAAGGGAATGGCTGCTTATGATGGGGGACCTTGATTGCCCAGTCAGGTGCAAGGTACGGGGTGAGCTAGTACCCTCTTCTGCGTGCTTCCCACGCGTGCGCAGGTCACTGCTACACAGGCGTGGCTGGCTCCTGCAATTCCTGTCCTGGGGTGTGGTAGCCAGAGCGCTCGGAGCCCGCGACGAGGCCCCCATCCTGGCACAGTGAGTGAGAGCGTGCACCACCACCCCATGCTTCCCGTTGCCGCAGGGTACTTTTTGTCGTCCTCGTTGTCGTCCTCGCGCTCTCCTTGGCTGGCTGGGCAATTTTGCACTGTGTGTTTGAGGTGGGAAGTTGGAATACCTTTTATGTAGCTCTCCATGGATGGCTTGCCGTGTTACGGGCTGTGGAGGTCTGGTCTTGGATGTACCGTAATTATATTGCTGAGCGCGGGAGAGTCCAGACCACCCGGTCATTGTGCCTCTCAGTCGAGCCCTGGCGATGCGCACGTTTAAAGGGAGCCGAGGAATTCAGATGACGGCCTAGAGGTAGACTGGACAGGTAGAACACAACGTGCCTAGAGGCCCCCAAGGTTGTGTGATCTGTTCGTGCCAGCCCAGAGATCCAGTCCCCATCAGCACTGTAGGCCCCATCGCTACAGGGCAGGCAGGCCAGCAGGCAGGCAGGCTGCCCCAGTCGCTGCCCCCCTGTGCGTGCCCCGCCCTACTTGTCTCGTCCCGTCTTCCACTCCCCCAAATTGAAGCTGTGCACCCCCCTCCCCCGGAACCTTTAGAGAGAGATGACACCCCAATATGCTTGAGCACAACCACCCCCTAAGAGCGCTAGTTCTCTCTCGTTGCGTTCAGTCCACCACCTCATCCAAGCCAGAGGTCCATTACTTACTGGTGTCGCTCGCTCCCTTTCCTCATTCTGCATCTCATTCCCACCTCTCGACTTGAACCAAATGGTAGACCGCAGCACACGTTGATCGAATCGCCCGCTTCTCGATCCTCGAGTCCGTTTCGAGGGCCTCTCCTCAATCAACAGACAGCCTGATCTTATGTCGGCCTCCCCTCGCTAGATCTATTCCTCGAACCGTCCTGCTTTGCGCCGCCATTGGCCCAATTCAACCCACGCCCGACCTCTGCGATTCTCCCGAGATTGAGTTTTGGGACCACAGGATCTATCACGGCATTCACTTCGCATTCTCTTCAACCCGGCCGAGCCTCAATTCGCTTCTTCTATTTCCTGCAACATTCTAGCTCATGGTCTAGAACCGAGAAAAAAAAGTTCCATTTGTCTTTCACCATACCTATATACCCAGCGCAGCTCAACCCACATTATTTGCAGGCGATATCATGGATGCGCACGTTCACCCTCGACCACAGCTTCCCAAAGCTGCTGGACTGTCCAACATTCTTAATGAGGATCCTTCTTCAACCAATGGTCCTCCGCCCCAGCTGCGTGACTCTGGGTTCTACTCGACCACGGACACAGCCAGCAAACGTACTTGCAGACCCTCGCCCAGACCTGCTGAATACAGCGAGACTAACACGTGAATCTAGATACCTCTGCTACGTCCTTCAGCGTCAGCAGCCTGAGCCCGGCCGCTTCAGCCTATCAATCCTCCGCCGACAAGACCCCTTCGCCCGTGGCCGGTAATATGATTCCTCAGGCTATTGTTTCTCCGGCTGCAGGCCACATGAGCGTTGCCTCTATCATGGCGCCTAATACACCGGGGGTTTCTGAACATCGACGGCTCGAACACTCAGCATCGATGGAATCGACACAGACTGGCACTACTTTGGGGGAGAACCTTATGCCGGGGACAATGTCTCGACGTGAGAGCGTCGACAGCCGAATCAACCAGGGCCTGAGCGATATGAGACTCGGTAACTCGCCTTATGCTAGCCAAAACCATTCGACAACCTCTATCCAGAACAGCCTCCACCAACAACGCAACCCTCGCTCCGGTCTCGACACACCCTCGATCCACCGAATTTCCAATGGTTACCAGCCCAGTGCCGACCGAAACCCCGAATCAAAGACTGTCAGAACCGCACCGGCAATTACAGGCCCAGCGACTGGGACTATCGCTCGAGCAGCCGAGCCAACAAAGGGTCAAGCTTGGGCTTTCCCTGAGGAGGAGCTTGGTCGCGGAAACCAATCTGGAGTGTACGACACCTCGCGACGAAGCAGCTTTTCCGAATCGGTCGCTAGCAGCCAATTTACCGCCGACTCTCGACTCCCTCCCGGGCAGCGAAGGTTGGAGGATGGGGCCTCGCCCCCGTCGCTCAACGACTATTCCGTCCATCACCACTCTCTGCAGCACAGGCAGCTAAGCGATCTTCAGGCCCAGGATGGTATTACTGGTGCACAGCCGTACAGTCGTACTCCTGAGCTCCGAGTGAGCCACAAGCTCGCCGAGCGCAAGAGACGAACGGAAATGAAGGAGCTTTTCGACGCCCTGCGAGACGAGATGCCGCAGGAACGGGGCTCGAAGGCATCCAAATGGGAAATTCTCACCAAAGGTAGGTCGAGATCTTGTTAACCGCGATGACGGATGGAACGATGCTGACATCTGTTCCCCTTTGCAGCTATCAACGAACATCGTGCCCAGAAGGAGTGCATTAAGACCCTCCAAGCTCGATGCCACTCGGTGATGTCAGAGAATGAGATGCTGCGACGCGAGCTGCAGTCGATGCGTGTAGGCGGAGGCCAATATCGACCAGACACAGCGCAACCGCAGCAAATGCCTCCGGCAGCAGCCCCAGCCCAGCCTTCGGCACAAGCTCCTTACGTTGGCGAGCACTTTGCTGGCGCAAGCCGTACCGAACTTCCACCTCTACGATCCATCAGCAACAGTGTTCCAAACGGACCCGAGTCCATGACGGGAGTTCAGTATGAGGCCCCTGGTGTCAATGGATATCGACCAGAGAGATACTAGGCGGCTTCTCCAACTCGGGGGGAGCAATCACAGCCCCTGTTGCCATTCTGTTTTAACAGCCTTAACGACGGACATAACGATCAGCCAGATGCATATGATACACTTTGCCTTGCGATCTGAGCACTTGGGACTCGAAGCGATATATGAACTTGATAATGACTTCTTGTCATGAGAATCGACAAACATACAGAAGCCTTCGATGCCCAAAGGGTTTTTTCTTCTTCTTCTTCCTTTTCTTTCTGTGCTATTAGAGATTCATTTTCTATCCCTGATAATTTTTTCCTTGCATTCATCTTGATATCATTACCTCATATGAGGTTATTTACCACCACCCCAGCCTGGGTGGGCTGGAAATGTTTATTTGGCCCGACAAGAGGCCCAGCACGGTCATCACCAACTTATTTTTTTCCATTTTAAATTATACCATTACGATGAGGGAATCAAAGGGAGATTTGGGTGTCATGCGCGCCTTAGAGGCGTCAACTGGTGTACAAGGCTACCCCCGTCAATTGAACAACTTAAAAAAAGAGGAGGATCCGTGGCAGACGACATGTTTTCTGGACGGATCTCAAGGTTTACTGGTTTGGGCAGATGTTACTTTTTGGTTCTACTGGGGAGGATTTGACGAGGGAAATGCGAAGGGGAAGCGACAGCGTCGGCGGGTGGCGAGAACAGAGACATAGGAGGTGTATATACCCTGTTGGTTTTTTTCTCTTGTGTGGTCTGGCGAGACGGGTGCTCATACACAAAACAACACTGCTAGGGCTGTTGTGTCTGGCCTGATAGTGGGAGCAGGTGTGAGGCATCGTCAAATTTATGTATATGCGGAACATCGAGCAGGGATTTCATGGTAGTAGTAGCGTTCTTGTTTTATCAAGACGTGGTTCAATATAGAACAGACACTTTTTGAATGTACAATGTGCGTCCAAACAGGAAGGACATGAGCGAACCTGTGATATGTTCTTCTGGAGCAGATGTGGGAGGATTGGTGCAACCGGAGATCAGCCACCTGACCCTCACACGGTACCACGCAACACAAGGTAGACACAACCCGGGAAGAGAGAGATCTTCGGCGGGCCGAGACTGGCCAACGCGATAATAAAGTAATGTGACCTGGGGATGGCGCGGAGCGGAGGAATGCTGGCATCGGCGGAGTTTGCGGGTCTTGGATCTGCCCGTCCGCCCGCCTGGTCCCAAGAATGCGCCAGACGCAGGCGCAAAGGCACGAGCAAAGTCCGTCAGCTGCGGGGTTTGGTTCCAGATGCAGCGGTTTGGGTGGGGCTTGCGCCTGAAGACTTGCGGACTCGAGCCGCAGATCCAGACCGGCATCAGCGGAGAATGAGACTTGTTAACTCCAGCTCGCACCTTCAGGGGCCCCGAGACCAGCGGAATTGAACGACGCGCGAACAAGCAATCAGACCGCCCGCCGCCATTCTCTGGGCCGGGCCAATTCCTCTTCTTTCAACCAACCGCATCGTGTCTCTGCCCGTGGTTGAACAGGCCTACATAATGGATCCCTTCAACGCCTTCAATCTTTCTCCAACCTCCATGGACTCAACGTCGATGCCAGCCACGGCCGCGTCGCGCCAGAAGAGCTGCAACGCCTGTGTAAGAGGCAAGCGCCGCTGCGACAAGTCCTATCCCAAGTGCACCCGGTGTGCCGCCAAGGGGCTGGATTGTGTCTACCACAAGGTGCCGCCTGTCCGCCCATTGAGGGCGACCAGCAACCACAACACCACCAGCGCTGGCAACCTTAGCTATCATCTTCATACTGCTCCGGCAGTCACCGTGCAGGACTCGCCCGAGGACGGGAGCGGGAGCGACCACGACGCGCATCCCGACTTTGACATGGACGGCCTGGACTTTGTAGGCTTCGGATCGTCATCGTCAGGCCCGCACAGCTCCAGCTCAGGCTCGACGTCCGCGACCCCCGGGACCTTGGAGCTCGACTCCACCAACCTGGACTTCTCCGTCGTCGATCTGCTCAACGGCGCCGACGTCCCCGGCAGCAGCATCTGGTCCCTGCCGCCGTTCGGGGAGCCCAAGGCGGACTTCCCTGCCCCCATCCACCACATGCCCACCCTCCAGCCGCGGGCGCAGGTCATCCGCCGCGACCTCTCCGCCCTCGCCTGCAGGACCAACGACGACGAGTGCCTGACCGTCGACCCGCTGCTGATCCACGATCCCCAGAGCAGGGTCGGCTTCGTGCTCAAGTACATCACCAACCTGCACCTCACCTTCGCCCAGACGCGCGCGCTGCCCTTCCTCCACACGCGGCTGTACCGGAGCAACCTGCCGCGCACCGTCATGTCGGCGTTCTGCGCGGCGACGACCTACGCCAACCGCACGGAGTCCACCAAGGCCTGGACGTACAACCTGATCGCCCAGGCCACCTCGGACATCCAAAAGGAAGGGGCCAAGGCGGAGACGGTCATGGACAAGCTGGCCAGGACCCAGGCGCTGGTCATTGCCGAGACGATCCGGGTGTTTGACGGCGACTTCTCGCTGCGCCACTCCGCCGGCAAGGACAGGCATATTCTGCTCGAGTGGCATCATGAGCTGGACAGGATAAGGGAGGATATGGAGATTGAGCTTGGCACGCCGGATGTTCCGTCCAGGGAACACCCCCCCGCTACTTGGGATGTGAGTATTTTGCCTCTAGTCATCAGACACATGGAATCATTGACTAACATGGACACTTGTACAGTCCTGGATTCTCATCGAGAGCTTGCGCCGAACATGCATCACGGTGGCGTCTTTCCTTTGTATGGTGCACATTCTAGAATCCACAATTCGTATGTTTCACCTGGTTCACAGTCCTGTGGCATCTTATTAGCTAGCTAACCACGGCAAACGAGCAGCCCCTATGGAAATCTGGAAAAGCAGTATGTTATTCACAGCGTCGAAGCGGCTTTGGTCCGCCGGCACCTCTGTCGAGTTCTACCAGGCTTGGCGCGAGGACCCCCAGTGGTACATCAGAGACAACAAATTCGACGAGTTCTGGCAATATGCGCGACCAGAGGATCTGGATGAGTTCACGAGGCTTCTCCTGATAACGTAAGTACCACTCATCTCTTGCCCTTTCGGTTGACTCTTTAAGAAGTAGAGGATTTTTTTAACTGATTCTGTGGATTACAGGCAAGCTGGCCATGACGGAGTGGAACATTTTCTTCAGGGCGAGTCGGTCCCCGTCGCATGAGATGGGAGAACATCGCTTGTTATTCTTCTTGTACGGGACGGGGGCCTGAGTCATATGGCCGAGGTTATGAATGGAAATGAATCAACCACTAATTGAGTAAACCTGGTGTGGCTACACAGGACGGCATATGGAGTTCTCTTTGTCTTTTTTTTTTTTCATTAATATGTAAAGTTCAATCTACAGGACACACTTTCCTCCTAACTCGGGAAACACAAAATGGTGCAGGCTTGCTTGGTTGTTTCAACTAATTTCCCTCCTCAGCTATCCGGAAAATCAATCGCTCGCCACTGACGGCCCGCGCTCTCAGCAGGTCGAGCGCATTCTGGGCCCTCTCGACCAGGTCCTTGCCCTCCACAACTCGGTAGTTGTTTGGGCGGACCACGCCCTGCTCGACTAGGGCCGGGATGATCTCAGGCTGGAGATGTTCCTTGAAGAATTCGTTCTGAAAAGTTGTCCATGTTAGCATACTGCATACCCTTCGTCAATGGATTGGAAAGTTTTGGTGAGCAGGCTTACTTGGAGGTAGAAATGGGTGCGGACACCCCGAGGGATAACACCCTCAGCCCACTGGCCGACAAGGACCTTGGACACGTCCATCTCGTACTCTGGCTCCTGATCCTCGGTGGCGTCCTTGATGATGACGGGCAGCATGATGGCCACCTTGGTTCCCTTCTGCGCAATCTTGCTCAGGGGCTCCAGAGTCCCCTTGACGGAGCCGATGCAGTCGATGATGCTGGGGATCTGAGGCTGCTCCCGTCCCTTGACGTGGTCGAGGATCGCCGCCTCGACGCCGGGCTTCGTGTAGTCCCACACGGCGGTGGCCCCGATGCTCTTCAGGTACTCGTGGTGTCTGCTGCTAGCCGTGACGAGGATGTTGGTGTACCCCCAGTGGCGGAGGACTTGAATAGCAAAAATGCCAACACTGCTGCTCCCGCCCCAGACGAGGATGGGCTCGTCTGCAGCAGCAGGCTTCCACCCGCCCTGCGGGATCGGCCAGGGTATCTCGAGGTCGAGGTCCTTAGTGATGGTGTGGAACGCCGTCACGAGGTTGACGGGGATGGTGACGGCCTGCTCCATGCTCAGGGACTTCGGGATCTTGGACGCGAGGTACGCGGGGATGGTGATGTACTCCTGGTGGTTCGCCTCTGACCCGCCGTGGAATGCGAAGACCATGACCTTGTCGCCGACTTTTAGGCCCTTGAGGTCGCCGGACGGGCCGACCTGGACGACTTCCCCGGCCGCGCCGCCGTTGCCCATTAGGCTGGGGTAGGAGGGGATGAGCAGGCCGCCGTCGGCTCTGTGGAGGTCGAGGGGTGTCGAGGCCGTCCAGTGGACTTTGACTAGGATCTGACCAGCGGCCGGGGGCACGACGGGGGAGGAGATTTGGATGAGAGGTGTGCGCTTGGCGGGGAGGGCCACGGCCTTTTGGGTTGTGGGGAGAGAGGACATGGTTGTTTTTTTGTTGGAGATGATGATGATGAGTGATAGGTTGTATGGATCTTATATACTTGATATTGTATGATTGTATCTGGACTGGATATGCGAAAACGTTTATTAACTGGTGAACGGGACCTCTACCTTTATATACCCATCTATGTACGCACATCTTATACATGACAAGTACGTCGATATCCTATTGAAGCTCCTTGATTATTCACATGTGGATTCGAGTGCGCATACTCGGAGTTTGGTCAGTTAACGGCCGCGATTACCTAAACGAGGAAAAATCCATTCATGTATCCTCCCGATCAGCTTTCCATGAACAAGCTTTCTGTAAGTTAGGCCCCCGATTTATAACAAGTGCCGAGTTCATGTTGGGTCGATCGCCAAACCTGGTCGATTTCCTTTTTAGGAAATTGTCCGAAAGAGGAAATGCACCTTCATTCGGTATGCGCCGAATGGATGATCTTCATGACATCTTTCTAGATATTTCTAGATATTAATCAACATTTCTACTCTCTATAGTGAAGAGGCGCACAATTTTGCCACATGTTGAGCATAACGGGTGGGAGCAGGCCAGCGATAGGCATAGTAGCGGTGTTTGAATCGATAGTCTAGTAAAATCTACCCAATATTAATCTTCTCACGTCTACTTGGTCTCATTCTGCTCGGCTTCCTCCCAGACCTTTGAATATTTCAAAGAGGGCTCAAATTGGAGCACAAACTCGCCGCTCTCCTCGAGCTGTCGCTTCATAATTTGGGCAAGCCCTTCTTCCTCGTTCGCGTACCACTTCTTAATTCCCCATTCCTTCTCCGATTCCCCGTCCCGGACCTCGCACCGATCAAAGCCAATCATACAGACGCGGTATTCGCCGCCCTCCTTAGGCACGACGATAAACTGCTCAGGCGTTACGCCACGCTTGAGAACACCTTCACTATCGAGCACATGCACGATATTAATGGCTTTGTCGAAGATTGACTGCCACGACGACTGCGGTGCATGGCTGGTGACATCAGCCAGGGAGAATCCCTCGAGGTGTTCCAGGAGGAGGCCTTGAACTTGGAATAAACCCTTGGGCAAGTCTTCCGTGGCACCGAATGGGCGCACATCCAGCGTGACATCGCCAAGAAACAGCGGCACTAGGTCGCCTTGGTACTTTGACAGAATGGAATAAACATTCCTCTCCCTGTGAAAAGAGGCGATGCATTCGTTCCAAAGGAACGCTTCATCATCCGCGTAGTCGCGGTGGCTTTCAGTCTTTCTATAATATCCTGGCTCGGTGTGCAGATTGTATAGAAGGCGCCCGATGTTGCCGTTGGAGACGCCTTCAATCAAGGCTCGCTCCCTGTGCTGGCCCCAGAGGCCAATACAGTTATTCGATCGGAGATCGTGGGCGTGTCTCCGGTCGAAGAGCTTCAAAAAAGCCTCTTCGGACTTGCCCACCGTACTTGGCTGGTCTTCCTGGCTGAGGCGATTGATCATTTCAACGACCATTCCGCAGGACGAGGTCCATGCCTCAGTGTGTCGGGTCACCAACAATTCCAGGTTGGACTGTTCCGGGTTGGAACAATCGACTCGGATGGTTTGACCCAAAGGGTAGGCTCCCTTGTTATTCTGGAAAGACATTTTGTTTCAAAGCTATTCAGTTGATATCGAAAACAAATGTGGTCGAGTTTGCGTTTGTTAAACAGAGCGAGTGAGCGAGGGTCTGGAATGAAGTATGCTGAATATACGGTGGATTTCTCGAATTTTATAGACTCTGCAGCTTTTGCTCAAGTCTCTGCAGGTGGTAAAAAGAGTCTACATTTACCGGTGACTGAGTAATGGGAACAAAGCAGCCGGGCTTCTTATTTCATTGCCTTTATTTGGCCGATGCACTGACTACAAAGATGGACTTTGAATGTTAGAGTACGGAAGGTTTGTGAATGTATTCATTTGTCGCTAAAGAAGCCTAAAATTGTCGAGGTATACTCATAATTGCTTCCATCGACAGAAGAATGATGGATAAACATAACTAGTGTCTTTTTGAACAATTGGTGCTTATAATCAACTATATAGATGAATATTCCTTAAAAGTCCTAGATAAGGCACCTTGATTTGGAATGGAGGGAGTGAAGGGCAAGACTGACGGTCTCGGTGATTTATCATCGGCTATTTGTTACTACTTCAAAATGCGTCGGAAGTGATAGTTAGCACACAATCGAGGTATTGTGAGTCTCCTGTGTTGCTTGCTTTACGCATCTTAGTCTGAGAAAGAGTAAGATGGTTTTCCTATCTTCCGATACCTACTATACAAGTTCCCGTAGATTCCTTTCAACAATAATATTAGCCCCTGTGCGCAGTGGTCAGCTCCGATGACGCTTGCCGGGTGTACTCACTCTGATGATCAGACCAACTGTAGGTGCGTCCGCCTCCTCCCATTAGCAGGAGGGGAGAATGAGTACATTATACAGATGCGACAGCAGAAGAGATCCTCGCTTTGAATCCGAGTATAAGCTTTTTTTTTTTTTTTTCTTTTTTTTTTTCCCCTTCTTTCACTTGACAAAACTCATTGAGAGGCCAATCTGCTGGCTTTATTCTTTTCACCTACATATCCAATGCCGTAGTGTATTACCTACGATAGAGCCCACAGAATGAGATGAGATGATGGTCTTTTTAGGTATTTCTCGTCATCAATCAGTCCAGGTACATGTTCCGTCAGCCCTGAGACTGGCAGCAGGTCCATTTCTTGGCCACTGACCCAGGTTGAATTTGATGTCTGATGCTATGTCTACCGTGCGGACTCTGATTTCCGATTAATTCAATTTTGAGAAACACAATACGCCTTGATCCGGAGCTGGCTGACGCCAAAGCCCTAGACGGGCTGAATGTCTTGCAAATGGTACTATCTGACTTAGTCTAACGGTGCAATCTCAATTACTCGGCGAGCCTGCTGAGTCACTGGGTCTGACTGAGGATCTTCAGGCCGATTCCCTCCAGAAACAATTACTTCACAATGTTGAATGTTTTGGTGACCTTTATCAGCTTGATCACGGAGAGGTGTCTCCAGCAGGCGTTTGCTAGTTTGATCTGCACACTCAGAGGGCATACTTTGTTTCCCGGGGTTGCCATCTTTCTGTTCAAGCCGCAGGCCGACCTGATCTAGTGGAGACCTTATACCCCGCAACCCGTCACAGATCACTTCCATTTCATTGGTAGTAATTTGTTCAAGGGCGTCTTTGATATAACTGGAAGCCTTGGAGTGCATCATGTGCCAGAGCCGCTTGTGCGATGCAAAATGCTGCTCCAGAACGTATATCACAGCGATCGTGAAGTAGAGAGACCTAGAGCGTGTGTGATCGACTAGACCAGCAACGGCATCAAATGTATCCTGCCCCAGAAGACAAACAAATTCCTCATCCGTGGCACATTCGAATGAACCATCAAAATGCTGGTGATCCAATAAAAGTTTAAGAAAATATTGTTTTCGGTCGCCCTTCAAAGATGTCATATCTACATCTGATTCTGGTCCTCTGCATAGGCGCGATAGGCTGCAGGGCTTGAGAAGATTGCGATGCACGCCAGTTGGAATATCACCGGCCATGCTGCTGACCGTTTCGATTCTTGGAAGGTAGGCATCGAGTATGCTTGGACCCAGTTGTATGTGTCTTTTCTCCAATAAATCTGTGATTGGTCTGCTATCTGGTTCTTCAAGTCTTCTCTTTAGGCCCCTGCGAGGCTTAGCTGGATTCCCCCGGCCACTAGCCATGCTACTCGCCTCGATGGCTGCACCGCACAGTTCGAGTTCGAGGTCGAGGACGGGCGGGTTGTACACATATTCTTGCCTCAAAAAATCTGGAACTCCACCGGACCATTCGTGTTTGAGGTCGAGGACGGGCGGGTTGTACACATATTCTTGCCCCAATAAATCTGGAATTTTCCTGCTGCCAGAAATAACGATTACTGAGCCCCTTGGGTCCTCAAGTGTTTTTGTCTCTTCGCCCAAAAAGAAACTGGTCCATTTCGAGGCAAGAGACCACTTGCAGGCCAGCATCTCAGCTTGCATGTCGAGGAGAGAATCATCCATCATCATACTAATAGAACTTCGTCCATGCTCAAGATCGTGTAACAGAGAACTTGCAGCAAGTTTGTGAATGGTTGTGCCACAGCCCTGAAGTATCTGTAGGGGGAATCTTTGCTCTGACTGTGTTCCATCCGGTGAGGCGATGGCAAGCACAAGACTCCGAAAATCCTTGGTCATCCCTTGGTCAAACAGCATATAGACGCGATTGCGAATAAATGGGTTGAGGTTTTGCAGTTCGGAGGGAGATGTGGTGTTGATCGGACAATTGATTGCTTGGCCACGTTAGCCTTGATGCAAGAATTACTATGAGAGGGCTCGCTGGGAGGATCAGGAAAGGATTTACCTTTGCCCTCATGTGTTTCGAGGTATATTTTTACTTCCCCAATCGGGCCATTTTCCACCGATGCAGCCTCCATAGACAAGAGCTTGCTTTCCCAGCTGTTTTGCTCACTTGCTGGGACAACTTCTGCATATCCGCCCCCCATGCTGGCGATACCCTCTACGAGATCATGAGAAACCTGGTCACCTATTCCGAGACAGAAGAAGCGAATGCGATTAAATGACGATTTCCTCGCATCCTTGACCGTCGCTAGTAGCTGATCGAGCCGCCAGACTTGCCCGTCAGTGAGAATAAAGATGTCCGTCAATATCTCAGTGTCTCTAGACCCTAGCATTGAATTGACAGCGTCAAGAATTTCGGTTCCTCCCATATCGGCATCGATAGAGGATGACACATACGCCAAAGCTGCTTCAAGGCTTTCCCCTGAATACTGAACTGACTGGGGACACCAACTTGTAAAGGTTGAGCCGAAACGTGCAATGTTGAATTTGTTTCCCAGTGGAATGCCTTTGAGGAAGAAATGCATGGCTGATTTGAGGGAATCTATTTTATCGTCCATCGACCCGGATTGATCCACAAGAAATAGAATCTCCCTCTGACGAGGTGGGGTTTTGGGTATCTGATTTAGAAGCCCGGGCTGGAGAATTGCCATTAAAGCCGCCTGGTTGGGATCTACTGGGTGGTGTTCGATCCAGACCTCGGGAGTAGCATTTCCTTTACCGACATCAACCACTATCTCCAAGGCAAAATCTCTGTCAAGGAACATGGGACCCTGGTCTAGCTGGACCAGCGATGTTTGGCCTAAGAGTACCTTGCCAGACTTTTCATCGGCTAGGTCTGCCCAGCTGTTCGCAGCTTGAAGCTCAGCCCGCTCCTTGACCTTGATTTTGTGAGTAGAGCTTCGAATCGTGTGGATGACACGAGAGTCTAGAACTTTGATGTTGAGAGTAAGTCCTTGCTTGACATCTGTGGTGGTTGTGCCTGTAAATCTTGGCTGTGGTCCGTATCGGCTGGCAAGACAAGTCGGAATGGTAAACGTCGATGTCTCCTTATTCTCTTCACCAGAGACCAAGTGATACTTGAGCAAAGTGATGTATGATATCTTGACCGTCACTCTTGTATCTGGGGGGATGTTTCCTAACGTAGCGCTGAAGATTTCCGTTGTGTCCTGGTTTAGCAAGCCGACCATGCGGCCAGCGGCAACATGCTCATTGAAGGCCTCCTGGGCCTCTTTCTTGGGTTTCACAGTTCCTTTCAATACCCTTGACCCAATCTGGCAGGTGAATTCCGTCACACTGCATCCTGCCGGAAGAGGGAACGTGTACGTTCCTTGAGGGATGAGTGTAGTAGAGTTATTCCAAAACACTTGAGTGACCTGAACACTTGCAGTGTCCTGCACAATAGACGCGTCGATTTCGATTGACCAAGGTGCAAGCAGGTTCTGTCCATCTTTTTCTGTGGTAAGATCTGGTAATTTATCTTGTTTTACCGCTAGATTTTCGGGCTGGGCCTGTACATAGTTCATAACAAATGGGGCATTTCCAGTGATGGCGCGCTTGATAGGACTTGCGTCGTATTTTCTGGCTGTCAGGCTCCCTTTTTGACGCTGCAGCTCGAGCGGGAGTGGCTCACGAGGGTCCCAAGATATGGTAGGCCCAAAAATGCTCATTTTCGCCAATGGTTCTGTATATATGTATTTTTTTTCTCTGTATGTGTTTAAGTGAGAGAAGAGAATGAACCGCCGCCTCCCGATGGAAGAGGCTACGTTTTGAAGGGAGTTTGCGAACCACGATGAGGCAGAAAGCCCCTTGCATGACAAAGGTAGTTATGCAAGGCAGAAACGGGTCGTTACATGGTCTCAGGCGGTGTCATTCGTGGCGAAGCATGAGGCTGAAACAGAAGTGCAGATAGTTTTAGCAGCTGGACCATGGAATTTAGACCCATCATCATTTATTGATCGGCCCCTAGTCTTCTATCATTTTCCGAAGGACATTCAAAGAATTCATTGTGATTACGGCTCCATCAAGCGATTCCAGAAGATGGAATTTTCATTCGGCATCGGCGACGCTTTCATCATGTCCAAGCTGGCGTGGAACGTAGCACAGGTTCTAACGAAGGGCCGCAAGTCAGCACCAAGAGAATTCCATGAATTAGAAGACCAGCTGTATTCTCTGGTCGCTGCTCTAACAGCCTTGAAAAATTCGTTTGACAATCAGGACAGCCCCAACTCAGAGGGAGGCAGCTTCGCCCCCCAAACTGATCTTCTCGAAGAAGAAGCCCTTGGTGAGACTTTGAAAAAAGTTCTGACGAGTTGCGGCAGGACATTGAAGCACTTAGAGGAAACATTGAAGAAATATGGTGCCATGGTCCAGCCATATGATGTGGATGGGACAACAATGAGCAAATGGGCAAAGGTGTTGGCCAAAGACTACAAAAAGATCGCCTGGACAACAGAAAAGGGAAATCTAGACTCATTGAGGAGTCAAATTACGATTCACACCAACAGCTTAGATTTGATTATCGGGGTGATCAGCAAGTAGGTCAAGTCTTCTCGCAAGCTGCCAGCATATCCAACAGCCCAGATTAACATGATCTACGCAGCTCTCGCACAAAGCGCATTGAAAGAGTCCTACACGAGAACTCTCATATGATGAAAGAGATATATGACTGGTTCAACGAAAGCATGAAGAATACTGATATCGAGGTCCACGGAATGACCCATCATCCACTGGCGACATCCAACCCAGCTCCTCCGCCAACTACCTTCGAAGTTTGCCTCAGCCAAGATACGGGTGAAACAAGACTGATTTGTTCTCGCGCAAGCCTCCATGAACACTGGAGTTCAGGGGTTTCAAAAGAAAATTTAGATGATCAATATCCCTTGTTCACCTGTCATTGCAGCTTATCACCAGGAGCGACTCAAGGCGACCATTCCTCCGCGCTCTCTATATATGCATGTGAGTGTCCTACTTCCGATAAATCATATATCAAATTACTGAGTTATAGGCAGTTTCTCCATTCACATTCCCTTTCAGCCTCCTTGGGCCGCAGAAATCATGGATGCTGTACAAGGTTGCTGATACTTTGCATAACACAATGGTGGCAATCATCATCCGGAACGCAGCATTGACCTGTAAGATCGACGCTCCAATCAATTGATTATACTAAATATAATTTTATTGCAGACATACAAGAGTTTGAGCAGACATTTATTCGTACACTTTCTGAAGCCAAAGCAGAGCTCATGTTTTCGCGAAGTATGAACAACATGCTCGCTCATATCGAGCCACATACGCAACAAGCTTACGTATTGAACTTACGAGGGTAAGAGATCTCTATCATATATCTATGAAGGGTAAATATCTAACTAGCATCTATGTAGCAACGTAAGCAGCGCAGGAGAGGACTTTGAATCCATTACGTTTACTTTAGGGACTAGGACCTACAAGAGGAGTATGATCAAGGGCGTCGACCTTCTACACTACAGAGCTGTGAAACCTGAATTCGGCTCGCCCTCAAGCACTACTGAAGTGCAAAATCCGTTTTGTGACTATGCCGAAATCCTTCTGTTCTATGATGAGACGGAGGACACGACACTTGGAGACATCTCACGCAATCTTCTTCAAGGTAGAAATGACGGCCAAGTAACACTTTGAGAGGAATTAAGCTCATGATAAATTAGTGAGAAGCAATACGTCCATGTCGTTCTCCGAGCAAGAGGCCCAGGTCACAATTCGAAAAATCAAGTGTCTAGGGTACTCCAACGAAGCTTGTACCAGCACAATCGAAAGTGTTGATGTTAATCTGCAATTTGCTAGAACAGAAAGTACGATAAATTACTATGGATATGCCAGTCTGGATGCTCTGCTGACTGCTGTCCTAGCCGCGAGAGACTTCTATGACAAACTCGAGGCCATGCGCTTGGAACTTTTTGCCCTCAGCCTAGAGTACCCGCAGAAAGAAGAGAATGTTGTTTTGCATCTGTAAGATACCCCTTCTCCTCAGTCTGGTCTGGAACTCATGTGGTGATGAATAGGCAAACAGCGCAGGTCCAAACCGAGGACATCTATATTTCTGACGCAGAGATATTCATTGTCCGGAATTCCTCGGGCCGCTTCCGAATGATCATACTAAGCCGGAATCGATGTACGATACTGAGCCAAGTCCGTGAGTTGCTTAAATATCCCGACGAAACACGGCCTATGAATCACTGCTGAGCCATCAAGTGGCGGACGACTTTTTTACTCAACCCAATGGCCGCCCCAATTTTAGATCACCAACCTACCTCGTTCAGCTACAAGGCCAAGGGGAACGGAAAATCTATAAATATGAGGAGGGACTAAATACACTGAACTTTCACAGTGTCCAAGGTGAGTTACCATGGAACTGCAAAGGAGCTTTAAATACCAATAGCCCAGCTAATGACTTTTGGGGTAGCGGAGAGAATGTTTGACCTGGGCCGTCTTGCGATTTCTGACCCGGACTCCACCAAACATATCGAAAACTCCACATGAAGGAAGTGTGGAAGTATTATTGCGTTAAGATGAGAGTCCGTCGCTGGAGGTCCCCCCCCCAAGCATACTTGTCTAGGGAATCATGATAACCCAACTTCACTTGAAGACTGAACCCTATCCGGTGTCTAATACCTTATGTTTGTTTCCATCCCTGGCGCCGAGGAGGTTTGGCGATATGATTTTCGAAGAAGACATCCTTTGGCTCCAAACGCGGCATCCGTTCTGAGTAGGTGAATACTCGTCATCATATTTTATTGTACCTTTGTTACAGGCTCGCCATCTAATATTAAGATTAGTCCTCACTTAAAAAGGCAGGAAAGTGCACGTTGGGCTTTAGGACACCTTCCAACTGATGATAGGTACATGGATATAGAATGAAACCTGAGGACCTAAGATGTAAGCTTAAGTATTGAGGCAAACCACCACAGATAAGCTCTTCTCAATATTGTATTGAATTCTTAGAGAGCCCTAGGTTCCATGCGTTCTTTTGAACCATGCTAGTATACCTGGCTCCTGATTAAACATCTTTTGGACAAATTGAACGAAGAATTCCTGCCTGGATGCGCGAGCCCAAGTTGGGGAAATGGTAAGCAATAAGGCAGGCGGCTCGAGCGGTAGGTTTTGTCAGTGACTGTTGGCAAGGCAGACATATCAAACGCGGCAACACTTGATTGGTTGATCTGACGAAAATGCAACGCAGCCTTACGTAGGTATGTGCCAAAACCTGACGCCAAAACCTGACGCTGAAATCTGATGCCAAAACCTGACCCCAGAGCCCGCCCGGCGTAAATCAATGTCTGGCCCAAGACGGTCCTTCCTGGTACTTTACAAGTATAAAAGACATCTTGAAGTATGTGTTTCTCTCCTTCTCCTTCTACGCTTCCAGGAACAAAGACAATCGAAATTGAACATCAAGACAGTGTTGAATGTGACCATGCCACCTTCTTTTCGGAAAATCCGCCCAGAGGTGTGGGAAAGGCACAAAAGAACGATCCTTGATCTCTGGTTGAATGAGAAACTACCTCTTAAAGGATGTAGTGAAAATGGGAGAAATTTGATGCAGGTCATGCAAGAAGAGCACAATTTTCACGCAACGTAAGTCGAGACTATCCGTGCTAGTACTGATTCTTGGCGGCTAATTGTTCTCAGAGCCTCTCAATTTGAAACAAAAATTAGATTATGGGGTGCTGCTAAGAATCTAAGAAGAAGCGATTGGGAAATTATTCTGCCACTCTATAATGAGCTAGAGAGGCAGGGACATGATCCTCGGGTCCGGGTTGGAGAGCACATCTTTACGGAGAGTAAAGTAAAGAGAGCTCGTCGAGAGTATTTGAAAGCAGGTCTTGTGACGAATGGGGATAATTCTGGTATGGGAAGATATGCGCTTCTGTATGGAGAGATGTTAACAGGTGATTTAGAACAAGCTCCCTCCTCCGATCCGATACAGAGACGCCTTTGGCGTATAGAAGTTCGACAGGATGATGGCCATTATTCGGAATATTCCAATACGTGTTCCGCTATGAACTCCCTTTGGAGCAGGGATTCTTCAAACATCGCCCAAAGAGACATGCAGAATGATCTCCCTGTCACCAGTGACCAACAGTTAGACATTGAATCCCTCTCGCCCCTCGGCGTTTGCTCTTTAAGAAACGCAACCGAAATAGAGTCCATGGATTCTCATCTTCGCCTAAATTCGCCGGACGATCCCAGCCATCAAAATCCAGATCAGCTGATTAGTTCTGTTCTTGAGTCATATACGCTTCCCAATACGCTCGATGTCGATTTTGACGGGTATGCTCTGTCAAACGCATGGGATAATGACATCGGGAATCCTATCTTATATACACCCTTTTCAATGAGCCCTTCAAGAATTTCCCTCAACGACCAGATCGAATCCATTCTCCGGAGCAACCTTCCGAGCGTTCAACCACCAAGGCGCTTTAGCCTCGGACCTCCCTCTTTATCGATGGTAATTGAGCGACTGGTCTCTCTGCCCGTAGCAAATATCTGTGGCCAAGCCCTTGCAGCGAGCTCAACACCAGCTTCCTACGAAAGCATTTCACTACGGGGATTTTCTGGAAGGCTTCTCTACTCTGTTGCTAATAACTTCGCTGGTCTTGAAGGCGTCGATTTTGCCACCGTTTTTGACCTTCTGGAACTTGTTCCGGGGATGGAGTCTTACTTTCTCGAGTGGCTATGTTCAGACAACCCCATGATTTCAAAGCCCCTTGCTAAGAACCTCTTTCGCGCTGCTATAGAAGCCGGGCGTGAGCAAGTGGTCGATACTGTACTGAAAACAACTTTCGGTAGAATCAACAAGATTGATGTTGATGAAACAATTCATAGCAATGGTGCCAGGTATTCGCCAATCGCGTTGGCATCTGGTCGATTCCACTCAGGAGTCGTCAAAACCCTTCTACTTCATGGTGCCAAAGTCAGAATTCCCGACCAGGCCTCTAAGGAAGTACAATTCCATGGTTGCCCACTCAGGGTCATCCTTAAAACATTGAAAGCAAAGCCTGGCTCCCCACTGGAGAAACAGGTCATACAGATCTTTGAATTAATAGCTATTCATGGGCCTCTAGATGTCCCAGAGTTATTTGTCTTGATTTTATACGATATGCAACATGTCAATCTCTTGAGTATGAATACCCGAGATTACTATAGAATTTCGCGAGAAATGGGCAGCAAACTCCTGGAAATCCTCTTTCAGTTAGTTCCCAAAGACCGTTATCCCGAGCTTCTCAGCCACAAGACTCGCCGGAAGCCGAGAAAATTTGTCAAGGCTTTCCCGCCTCTTCTATACAAGATTATAAAAAAGGCGGAAAACCAAGTTGCGAACAATATCGCTCAAAGCCTTTTGAGCACATACGACGACGCTCAATTCAGGGTTTCATCTGTGGGAACTTATTCTGAAGTATTGAGAGAAGCGCTTATTCTTGCTATTTTAAGAGACAATACTGAGCTCATAGAGTACCTCTTGGGTCGTGTCAGTCCAGACGATAGACACCTCACAGCTGCGGTTCACGTGGGGAACCTTGCCTTAACAGACTCTATCTTGGACCATGGCGTTTCTGCTCGGGGAAGAATGATGTGTTCTGAGCATCTATGTTATGCATCCCATGATTCTCGCTGGTGGACTCAAGAAGAAACGGGGAAAGAAAAAGAGGATAGAAAATGCACATTTGGTCGTGAGAGCGAATACGAATTCTGCAAACCAACAACCCCGTTGGCCGAAGCCATTCGCCTGCAAAACACGCAGCTCATCCATCGGCTTGAGAACTGCGGGGCACTCGATGCACTATTATCTGAGAAAGGGCAACTTCACTTCGACGCTGCAGCCCAGGCATCAGGTGAAGTTGGCAATGTGTCCTATCTCAAACAGCTTCTTAATTCAAACCCTCATCTCACTTTAAGCAGTTTGCTGGTTCCTATTCAGAATGCAATAGAATCCGGACACTTTGAGGCCGCTTGGGGTTTGATAACCCAATATCCCAAAGATGGCGGCAATAGAGAAATAATGCATAGAGTCGAACTCGAATATCACATGGAGAATATGTTATCTGCAATTATACGAAACAATGGGAGCCTGGAGTTCCTAGAACAGGTGATAGAATATCTGGACTGCTTCAAATACTTGGGGGCATCCCACATCAGAAGCCTGCTAGTGGAAGCTGTACAGATCGATGATAGGCGAATTATTGAATACTTGGTGCACCTGAATCACAGGCCCTTTTCTGTCCTAAGTTCATCAGTGTCACCTCTCGATGTTGCAGTCAAAAGGCAGAATGTCGAACTTATGAGATTCCTTCTAGAGTATGATGCTTCTCCTTGCTACCTCACGGGGGCCGTTGAAACGGGAAACGAAGCTATCGTGCGCCTATTCCTACGCCACGGAGCAGATCCAGCAGATGAATTGGCACTTTCAAAGGCTGTCAGAAGTAGCAACAAGTCGCTTCTCCCGATACTTCTTTCGGCGTTCTCTTCAAGATATCCGAATGGGAGAAGAGGTTTTGGTGGACGCGTACTCATTGGGGCCATCGAAATGTTTGAGGAGAACGATACGATTCTTTATCTGGCAATCCGTCGGATCCTCGAGGCAGGTGTAAGCCCAGAAGCAACTGATTTGAGACGGCTTCAACGCGTCAGTGCACTTTTACAGGCCATCATATCGAACAGCATGCCTATGGTAGAGCTATTACTAGGCAAAGGAGCCGACATCAATCGACCAGCAAAAGGGGGTCTGAAACGCACACCTCTTCAGCAAGCCTGTGAACAGGGAAGCTTTCAGATGGTGAAATATCTGCTGGACCGAGGCGCAGATATCCACGCCCCCCAGGCGGTAAATGGCGGCGCAACGGCCCTACAGCTTGCAGCTATCCAAGGCAATTTAAGAATTGTCAGACTTCTTCTGGACTTGGGACTCAATATCAATGAGGCGCCTGCACCTGTCAATGGACGCACCGCTCTCGAAGGAGCAGCTGAGCATGGACGAGTCAGTGTACTTGATTTACTGCTTGTAGAAGGCAAGGACATTTACACATCAACGGATATTGAGAGCGCGAGCAAGTATGCAGAGAGAAACGGGCATCAGGGTTGTGAGGATATGCTCAGGCTTGCTCGCTTCAGGATTTGTAGGGAGTCTATCTTATAAAAATCTCTTTCGTGTTTGGTTCACTATCGAAAATGTACTTATTTATTATTAAGGTATCGTTAAGTCTAAACTCAGCATTCTGGCCACAAATTCATCGAAGGCTCGGGTTGAAGTCCGTAGCAACTCCAGCAGTAGCCACATTTGTTACCAGCAGTCGCCTTAGAAATGACTTTGGGACTGAGCAGAGCCATGTTGCAATTTATTCACCTGCTCAGCCCGGTATGCTTGTTGCTAACATATCAAGTATGCTGTACGAAATGCAATTCATCCCCAAGACTCCACATACCAGCTCTTGCTTATAATAGTATCAAAGGCAGGAGTGAAAAGGGGTAGGCCTAATGTTTGGTACGATAGTTCACAGCCCCTTGCCCCGATCGCAAGTTTCTCGAGTTCAGCCTCACCTTATTCGCGTCTAAACAGCACTTCACTGATGCTGATTCAATATCGCAAGCTAAACAATAGAATTGATCAATACTCTATTACATTCTCGCATTGATATAGAGGAGAACGTGTCGTTTATTCATTGAATACTGGGTGGTAGAGTGCACAGTAGGCTATGCGTCGTCCTTCTCATTGCCATCAAATGCATTAGTTCGGCCAGATCAAGTGCCATTTATCGTCGGCCAAAGTATGAATGAGCATCTCCACCTTGAATAAGATCACAAAATGGAAACAATATGCTGTAATAGGGGTTATTGATATTCTTTTCAAAACATACCAAGAAGCTCTATCCAAAAACTCAAGACCCAACCGGTCTGCGCTCCCAACGCCAATACAAACAAAACATTCCCTGCCAGCCATCGTCATAATCGTTGTTTGTTCTTGTATAATCATATTCACATCAAGCCCACTCAATATACACGTCTAGACAACTCCGGACACCAGCCAGAGTTCGATAAAAATACAACTCAGCGAGCAAATGCGCTGATGAGTCGCCGGGCACAAAAAGTAAAATATCATAGCTTTAGAGCCACTCAGAGTTAACGTTCTGAACATCATCGGGACGTTCCTTCAAAGATGGAGGGTTCTCGAACGCCTTAGGAGCCCCGATCATGGCCCCGATTCGCTTGTAGACTTCGGTACGGAGCCCCCCGATCTTCCGGACGTCCTCGCCCCCCAGGCGGAGGAGCAGCATGTGGTGCAGGGTCGTCCTGAGCCCGTCGAGGTGCCACACGTCGGCCCGGGTTGGATCCTCGTGGGGTTGAAGGACCATGCTCTCAGTGATCTGGTCGCGCATCTGCCCGTGGTGCTTCGCTCGGCCGCCGCTGCCGCGGAACTCGTTGTACATGGCCCAGCTGCCGTGACGGAGCACCGCCTCCTGGAAGGCCTGCTCTCTCTTGAAGTACTCAACATCCATGGTGGGCACGCATGTCTTCTGGTGGCGGCACTCGGCGAGGTATGTGCCGAGGAAGTAGACTTCGATGAGCGAGTCAAGGGACAGACTCTCGAGGTACTCCTTCTGGAGCTTGAGCGTGCGACTCAACGTGAGCCCGCGCACCAGCTGGGGCCCGTCTGGGATGCCAATAAACCAAAACAATTCCCCGGCCATTTCGAATATGGCCTGCCCCTCCATGTCGGCCAGGACGTCACAGCGGGTCATGGCTCTTTTGAGAAGAGCCTGAAGAAGGCTCCGTGAGTTTGTGTTTGGGAAGGCTGGCCAACTATGGGGTATTCCATCATGTGGATTTTTGATGAGGAGGCTGGGAGCTCTGAGCAAGACCTCGATGTCATGATCGCGCCTCTGGAGCTCCTCAACACCTACAAAGGTGTTCGTGTGGACTGGTACCGGCTTCGCTTGTGGGTAGTCTTGCCTCCCCGACTCTTTGGCCGCCTTTATTTCACCGGCAGAGGCCTTCTCGAGGGCGCTGAGGTCGTATCTCAGGACGAATGGAGAGTGCCCTTCATCGAGGGCGGCCAGGGTAGACATCCGGTAAATATTTTTTACGATGGATGTTTCAAAAGTTTGAAGAAGGTGACTGAATCCCTGATCCAAAGATGTTAGTCAAGAACTTCAACGCTAGCCAGTCAGTGGGTTTACTTACAGGCACCTTCTTCAGGGTCGAGATTGTCTCCATGTCGCAGAATTCGACAATGCGGAGCCGAATCTCGTTACAAAGGTGTGGGATAGCCATTATGATGAGAGGAAGTAGGAGAAAGTAGATGAATCGGATTGGTTATCCGAATGTGGTGTCCAAGCAACCAGAATTTGAAGAGTAATATAGAGTAGGCTGTAAAAGGATGGTGATCTGGTCTCTTCAGAGAAAGCTGTAAGCTTAAATGAGAGATATTCAGAACTAGGCGTGCTGTGCAACAATGTGGGTTGACAGAGGAGTATGAAGATATGAAGAAGAATTCAGATGAACCAGGGTGCAGGAGGGAGATTTATTGATCAAAACCAAGGTTCAAGCGAGGGGATCAGAATCAGGTGTACTGCTACAACAGTGTGAGTTAGAGGATGAAGAATGAAAGAAAGGAATCCGATGAGAAGGGGGGCAAAGGAGGAATTTATAGACGAAAAACAAGGCTCGAGCAAGGAGAAATCAGCCTCTGCGGGCACCAGATCGTGAGTCACGCTCCAGCAAAGTCAAACCAAAATTAACACACAATGTGGTGACGCTTCGAAAGGCTCACAATGTAGCCTTTTGAATTTAGCGCGTTAGCAGTTCATCCAAGTGATGCCTCGAGGTCAGTGATTCAATACCGGCGCCAATTGACGGGAATATAAGCCCTTGGCTTGAACCAACAATAGGTTTTTTGTAAGAACAATGGGCATCCAACAAGTTGACCCAGGAGAGAGGCTATATATCCCGTGTTGGTGATTCGAGGATGCATACCAACAACGGGCAAAGAAGCCCTTGCCCTTGAGACGCCCGAGCGTCAGAGATTTCGGAAGTCTTCGGAAGTCAAGTAAAAGAGTTCAATTTTTCAAAACCTAGAAACGCCTGCAAACCCCGTGATGGTCATGATACTAAACAGTAGGGGCTATGATCCCTATGCAGCCAAGGTGTTACAAGTCATATCAAGACTGAACCCAAAATACTGCCCATTACTGTCCTGGCGATACAACCTCAGGACCGACCCCAACCCTGCAATCATTAGAACTAATATCTTGCTGTATGTATACAGGCAGACCAGACATTCGGCGAGAACGAGATCACCTTATGCATTCATTTCATCCCTTAGTCCTCGACAGGTGGGACACCGTGAAAAGAATGCGAAGAAACAAAAGAGTTCCTGATCTGGGATCAAGATATGGGACCAACTACGCCCTATGTACTCGACTGCTTCAAGAAGAATGATACTTGTATGTCTTGTCTTTGTCCTCGCTATTCTCCGGCAGTGAATCGCTCCGTCATTGTGACACGGTTGCTACCGAGGGTGACAATCTTGCTGATGAGCTGGTCCTTACTGTCCAGGGCAACAATGTCGTCGGCACCTCCAATGCTCTTCCCGTTAATCATAATGTTGGGAACCGTCCTACGCCCTGTCAATGTCTCAAGGGCATCCTGCAGGTCTGGCCCAAGAGGGTGTTCGTCCAACTCGACTACGTAGGGAGTAGGGGTGATGGAATATTTCTCGAGCAGGAGACCCTTGGCGCGTTTAGAGAAGGGGCAATAAGTCTTGGAGAAAATGATGACTGGAATAGTCCAAAGTTAGTCAACTGCCTGTCACAAGTTGGATGAAGCCCGAAAAGATTATTCAAGAAATCAAACATACCCGGTCCCTTCTTGAGGATTGAGTTAAGTTCAGCCTCGGCATCTTCTTCCTTTGTTGGCTTAGAAGTAGTCTTCTTCTTCTTCGACCCCAGCTCCTCGTCGTCGTCACTCAGAGCCTTCTTGTCCTGCCCTTCGGCCGAGCTTCCAACGCCAACAACATCCTTGGGAGAGTCCGGACGAAGAGGGGCTTTGTTGTTTGCCTTCTCCTTAGCCTTCTGCTCTGCCGCCTTGAGGCGCTCCTGCATCTTGAGCGACGATTCTCGGTCGTCCGCGTCGACGTCGCCATCGCCATCCCTGTCCGCGGGAATGTGCCCGGCCTTGGTCCCCGTCTTCGTGTCGATCACCGTCTTCCCTCCCGACGTGTCCTTCTCCTTGTTTTCCATGGCATTGACGGTCTTGTCGTAAAAGCTTACGGCGCCTCTGCGGTCGCGTGCCGAGCCCTCAACCTTGGAGGTGTAGTATAAGAAGAAGACAATCAGGACCAGGGCGGCCAGGCCGACGAGCCTAATTCGGCGTGGCGAGGGCATTGTGGGCGCTGATTGTGTCGTCGGGGGGCGACCTCGATCGTGATCAAGATCCGGGGAGTCTTCGTCGAGACGAAAGGGGGGAGGCGTCGGCCGTTTCTGGGGAGCTGGATATCGAGTACCTGAGCTTCGAGTTAATCGCCCAGGAGATGGTGGGGCGAGGGAGAATAGGGTTGAGACAGCTGGGGACGAGCAGGACCCCTATCAGCGCTCGGTTGGCACGGCTAGGAGAGAGGCGGCTCGATACAGTCGATGATATAATGTCAGATATCGATGAACGGAGCGGGAGAGCCTGGCTGGGAAGTGGCAGCTCCAGCTCGTATATCTTATTAGCAGATGTTCATGTGCATTAGACTCGATGTGCCAGGGATGGTGCAGTGGAGCGACATTGATGGCATGGGGGCAGCCACTGTGGGAGGTTGCAGCCGGTGTCTCCAGCAGAGTGGCCTCCCCGCCCCAGTGCAATAGCGCCAGGCACTAGCGGACTCTAGTCGCTGGCAGGGGCCTGGGCAGGGGTCGAGATGCCGAACGAGCCCTACAGAGATCACTAAGGCAAGGGACAGTCAATTGCAATTGCATCTGCCATACTTGATGAAAAAAAGTTTCAACTTGTAAAATTTGTTGTGTTGGCAAACGAAGCTTGCATTAAAAACAAAGACATTTAGCATGAAATTAGCAGATCTGACCATCATTATACCTGCTTCAACTCCCCATACGCTTCATAACTCTTCATCTTCCCAGGCCCATAGCCTTGCCCTGTCTCCAGTTCGAGCTGTCTTGCAAACAGGAATCTGCACAAGTGAACGCCTTGGTTGGTGTGTCCGATGAAAAACCATGTGTAGCCGGAGTACACAAATTGGCTTTTAGAATGGGCATGACACCACTCCCATATGCTACCACTTTTAACGCCGAAATTTCATTGTAAGCATCCAAGAATTCTGGTATTCCTCTCACGCAAGTGATCCCCGCAACATAAACAAAAGCATCCTTCTAGCTCCAAAGTCAAAGACATCATTGGTGGTGTTGCAGATGATGAGGCTGGTGGTGAATGTGATTGTGTTGGTGCTGCATTGCTGGCGCCGCTCGCACACTCAGGACAAGGCAAGCTGTAATCGTAAAGATAGTGTTAAACATAGGTGCCATCTTGAACGATTGGTTGTTATGCACAGTATGGGAGGCTCTGGGTATTCATGTCTTCTTTTTACACTGGGTGCGGCGCTTGGTTGGGACTGTCGCTGATATATCTGCCTGTAAGCAAAGACCAGCCTCACATGAGTATGGTAACCTCAGGCGTGGCTTGGGGCCTTAAGCTACTAGCTGGTGCTGTCTTACTCCCCAAGCCCCCCCGAAGTATGAACATGATGCCAACCTCCATCGGACTGCGCGAATTCGCCTCCATCGTCCTCGTGATCACCTAGTTTATTTGACTTCAAAAAAGAAGAAAGTAAATATCACAAGGGCCTTCACATGATGGCTGTGGGCCCTTCCCGTGGAGCAGCTTCACAGGGCACGGGTCTCTTTGGGGAATTCCAGCCAATTAGGAGAGGCCATGCAACCATCTCTGGGCGATACATTAGTTCGCTTTAAGATACTTTTACCTTCTCATTTTTTGTGGGCTAGACAAGTACTTTATTCAGACTAGAAGTACCTCATGCTCTAGCTTTTTTTTACAGACTTGAAGCCAGCTTGGCTTCTGGCTGTTAGTTAGTTTCTATTTCTATTCAGACGACTCATAGCCATAGAATCATCCAGACGGATTTATGTGTCCTCTTTACATTCTCCTCAACCAAGATTCAAGAGCGAATACAAATACTAGTTTATCTCCGCGTGGTCATTTCCCTTCCATTATAACTACTTGTCTTTTTTTCTCACACATCCCAGCCACGTTTGCCTCCCTTGAGTTCTCTACCAAATTTTCATGATACCCCAGAGAACTCAGCTGCAGGGTTACCTTTTTGTCCATTCCATTCCAGCCAATTCCGCACACCATCAACGACATTCACTCTTTCACTCCTCTGCCCTCCGCCATTGATTCCGACGTCATTGGCAGTAACAGAGGGTCTCACATCTCACAGCAGAGACCAGCCACAATGCGTTCCTCGCATGCCCGAACGGGCCGCTTTTGGCTATTCGCATTATTTCTCATCGTATTTTCCGCTCTAGTTGTCGCCTCAGAGCCACAGCCCTCACCAGTCGCAGATGAGGACTTGATATGTCACACATCCAACCCAGACGAGTGTTATCCTCGCATATTCCAGCCTACGGATGAGTTCCAGATTGTCCACCCTGACCAGCACTTGCCGGAAGGCCTGCATGTAAGACTAGACATCACAACTGGAAAGAAGGAGGCCAAGATCAACGTTCCAGATGAGGTCAATCCGGCACTAGAGGGCCTGCCAGTTGATCAGGCTGTCATGGTCGTTGATGCCCCAGCCTCAGAGGAGCCGGACACCCCACCGATCCCAAGAGATGCCCCAGAATATGACATCCTTGGAAAGGTCAGGGAGCCGAAGCCATCAGCCGGGTCAAACCAGGAGGCCGTCTCGTTCTACGACAACCTGAAACTTTTGAAAAGCCCCGAGGCTGCCACCAGCCCAGATATCAAGGTTGACAAGGCCCTCGAGGCGCTGGAGGATATCTCCCACGACATCTACTACGGTCTCAAAATCGCCGAGGACACCGAAGCCGTCAACTCGCTCCTCTGCCTCATGACGCGGCCAGGAGGCAGCGATGCGGCCGACCAGAGCCTCCCACCCCGCGACCAGCAAGCCGCCTCTGTTCTGGCCGGAACTCTATCCAACAACCCCAAGGCTCTTCAGCAAGTAGCCGGGTCCTGGTCGATCATGCTGAACAGCCCCTGCCCTGACGCAAAAGGCTCCTTGGGAGATGGGTTCTATGGTAACGCCCTTGTGGCTTCTGGGGACCTGACAAGCAGCTCCGAGAGGCGCACCGCCGCATCTCGCATCAGGGCCAAGGTCGCGGTTATCAATGGACTCATTAAGGACGACGGCATCAGGGCCGAGTTCCTCAAGAACGGTGGCATGAGCAAGCTCCTGAGGGTCCTGATTCCCGAGCAGGCTGAATGGGCGGGCGCCCAGCGAAAGGTCGGCCAGCTGGCCCTTGACAACTTCTTGGACGAAGACATGGGCGCCATCCTTGGCCAATGGCCAACTTCCTCCAAGTTGGGCGATAAGCAGTGCCAGAGTGGTAAGGATTCAGGCTCCGAAGGGTGCTGGGATTACCACGTAGCGAGAATCAAGAAGAGCAACGGCAAGGACAAGGAGCATTGGAGCCATGATCTGAACACGAGGCTGAGGAAGGCGAGAAAGACACAGCCAAAGGCTAAGAATAATAGAGAGCTGTAGATAGATATACAACATTAGAGCCAGTCAATTTAATGAACATGCAAACTTGACTTCTTCACGTTCTACATACATAGAGAGAAAATAAATATATACACAAAATGAAATGCCCTCGTATTTTGAATTACACATTCGAGATTCCAATACTGAATCCAAATTGGTGGTTTTGCATGTTTTATTTGCTCCTGTATCGGAAGCGAGATCACCAACGATAAACCAGTTCCATGATCGTACCCACACCAAGAAATAAAACAGATGCAACCTCTCAACAGCAAAAACGTCAAACCCCATCCCAGACTCTCATCCAAAATGCCACCTCCCATATCATCCTCCCCATTCCCAGCGGTAGAAGTCCGCCCCAATCCATCCAAGGGACGCTCCCTCCACGCCACCACCAGCTTCGCCCCCGGAGCCGTCATCCTCGCCGCCCAGCCGCTCGCCTGCCTGCCCGCGCTCTCCCACCTCGCCTCCCGCTGCTCCCACTGCTTCGAGCTCGG